ATTTCAAATCATTTCAGAAGTTTTAATGTACAGTGTAACGTACCTCTAACTCTTCAAATGTGAAAATGTGGGACAACGATTTTGGATAGTGTTGGGACAATGATGAAACACGTGGTAATGTTTCTTTAGAGGATTTTAAAAAACGTGATCTGTGAGGAGTTTGGATGGTGTGAAGATTTTGGATTGTTTCAAATTCAAAACATAGGTAAAATATGAGTTTAAAAGTTTGGTGAAATGGTTGGGTGGAAGTTAATGGGGAAGTTAATGCATCATAAATGCTATTTATTAACTATAAGGGTAAATTCGTCTTTTCACTAAAGGTGGGTTCAAAATTAAATACAGGTGGAGTCAAAAATTAGGTTTTTTAAAAAGGGGTTCATTTATCAATTTGAACTATTGGTGGGGTGAAAAACCCCAATTTTCCATAACATCCCCCCTCAAACCAAGCCTAAGAAAGAGGCATGAGTTTGGACTTGAGAAAATTAAAACGATCACCACTGAGCAGCTTGGTGAGTAAATCAGCCAGCTGAGAAGAAGTAGGAACATATTGAAGAGAAATATCACGTTGAATAACCTTCTCCCGAACAAAATGAAAATCGATCTCCACATGTTTCGTACACCCATGGAAAACCAGATTTCGGGCCAACTGGATAGCTGACTGATTGTCGCAACAGATTAAAGGAGGCTGAGAAAGAACAAGGCAAAGATCCTTTAGAAGCTGTCGAAGCCAAAACAATTCAGCTGCTGTGGATGCAAGAGCACGATACTCGGCTTCCATTGAACTGCGGGAAATAATAGCTTACTTTTTAGCTACCCAAGAGATAGGATTAGGACCAAGAAAAACAACAAATCCTGTTGTACAACGCGGATTAGATGGATCCCCAACCTAGTCAGAATCAGAAAAGGCCATAAGATTCAAAGAAGTAGAACCATCCTTCCGAAAAGTAAACTAGAGGAGAGAGAACCAACAATATATCTCAATACACGCTTAGTTGCAGACAAATACGATAAGGAAGGAGTGTGGATAAACTAAGAGAGTCGACTAACAGAGAAAACAATATCAGGTCTTGAGAAGGCAAGATATTGAAGAGCCCCAATAATAGCTCTATAAGTATGAACATCAACAACTGAACACAGAGTAGCAGCATAAATAACAACCTTTATAGACAAAGGAGTACGACAAGGCTTTGCGGCAGCTATACCAAAACGAGAGAGAAGATCCCGAGCATACTTTGTTTGAGAGACATGAATACCATTGGTAGAGCGAGAGATTTCCAAACCAAGAAAATATGTAACACCACCAAGATCCGTCATATCAAAATGCATACGAAGTTGAGAAATAAGACCATCAATATAAGATGGATTATTCCCTGTTACAATAATATCATCAACATAGAGTAACAAGTATGTATATGAACCAGCCGATTGATGAACAAACAAGGATGAGTCTGCAGAGGAAGCCATAAAGCCCAATTTAAGGAGATATGAGGTAAAACAATCAAACCAGGCACGGGGAGCCTGTTTCAATCTATAAAGAGATTTAATCAATTTGCAGACATGATTAGGATACATGGAATTAACAAACCCTTGAGGCTACTGCGTATATACCTCTTCATTAAGTTCTCCATATAAAAATGCGTTCTTAACATCAAGTTGACGAAGACTCCAACCATATTGAGCAGCCAATGAAAGAATGATACAAACAGTAGGCTTTTTAATAACAGGACTAAAGGTTTCATCATAGTCAATACCCTCTTGTTCATGATACCCTTTTGCTACCAAACGGGCCTTATGTCTAGCCATAGAGTCATCGAGGTGTCGTTTAATGCGATACACCCATTTACAACCAATTGCAACCTTATCAATAGCTAAAGGAACAAGTTCCCAAGTTCGTTGCCTAACAAGAGCATCACATTCCTCCTTCATGGCCTGTTGCCAAATGAGAAGTTGAGAGGCCTTAGAGTAAGAGGAAGGTTCATCATTCACAGTAATGATAGATTAAGCAACAAAAACCTTCTTTTTAGATATCCCTGATTTGCCTCTAGTTTCCATTGGATGGATATTTGTGGATTGTGGAACACAACTAGGAATAGGTGTTGGTGTTGGTGTATTCATGTCAACAACAGAGGAAGAAATACCAGCAGAACCATGAGCAACAGATTGTACAGTATGTGATGCATCAACCAGAGAAACTGGTGCTGGTGGATGTGTACAAGACAACCCTAAATCAGTAGTTGGAGTATGAGTAGAGAAATCAGAATCAGAGGCAGTGGAAGAATCTAAGGGAGAGGTAGTAGAAGAAGATGATGAAACCGTGGAAGGGCTAGACAGAGATGATAAAGTAGACAAGAGAAGAGGTAAAATAGGAGAAGGAGAAGAACGGGAAAAAGAAGTAGCAGTAGAGAAAGGAAAATAAGATTCATCAAAAGGAACATGTCTAGAGGTATAGAACTTGTGAGAGCTCATGTTGTAGCACAAATAACCCTTATAATCTAAGGGATAACCGAGAAAGACACACTTCGATGTTTTGGGTAGAAGTTTATGTGAATTGTATGGCTTTAAAATAGGATAGCAGGCGCAACCGAATGTTTTAAGATGAGAATAATTAGGGAGTCGACGAAAGAGACACTCAAAAGGAGATTTATGAGCTAAGGAAGGAGATGGTAAACGATTTATAAGGAATACAGCAGCAGCGAAGGCAAATGACCAGAACTTAATAGGAATAGAAGCTTTAGTCATTAGGGAAATGGCCATTTCAACAATGTGACGGTGTTTGCATTCAGCCACACCATTTTGTTCGGGTGTGTAAGCACATTATTTTTTATGAAGAATGCCACGAGAATTGAGATAGGAACGAAAAGAGTCATTTATAAACTCACCCCCTCCATCACTACGAAAGAGTGATTTATAAAATTGACCACGGCCTTGATTTCCAATATTACGACCACGACCCTGATTTCCTTTATCGCGAGAGCTATTTGAGTTATAAACAGGAGCCGTGCGAGATGGATTCGGAACAGTAAATAGAGCAGTATTTTGAGAAAACAAATCATCTCGTTTCACCTGCTTGTCCAAAGCAACTTCCTCCGATTTCATAAGAACATGGAGTTCATCAAAAGTAACGGATTGAGACCGAGTACCCATAGATGTGCGAAAGACATTATACTCAGACGGTAAACCATTCAAAGTGTAAATCAACAGATCCTCATCATCAACAACTACAGAGACATTTGCTAATTTGTCCTTAACCTCCTTAATACGTTTTACATAATCATCAATAGACTCACCGACTTTCTTGGATATGGATTGAAGATCAGATTTGAGGTTAACAACATTGGTGCGTGAGCTTGATGAATAATGCTTCTCCAGAGTGTCCCAAATTTCCTTCGGAGAGGTACTACCGACAACGTATGCTAGGGCAGATGGAGATAAAGTAGCATTTATTAGCGTCATAAGAGCTTGATCGCGTGCAATCCAATCTTCATAGGCGGGATTAATAGATTGAGATGACGATTCAGATCCAGATTTTGTGGAAGGAAGAAATTTCTTTGGAGGTGGTTTCAATCCATCAATAAAACCAAAAAGCTTGTGAGCTTTTAGAATAGCCATGAGTTGAAATTTCCACAAAACAAAATTTGTTGAATCGAGCCCGATCGAAATCAAATTACAGATGTTTGACAGAAGAAAAATCGATGAATTCAAGTCTTTGTCAAGTTGAAGGGAAGCCATGATTTGATAATCGAGGACAAAGGAGATTGAAAACCGTTGCGTTGGTTGACAAAGGTCAATAATGGTGAATTTCAGGAAATGGTTATTGACACATGGAAAAGGAATTAGAAGACAGATGTCATATCTGCTCTGATACCATATGAACTTCTAATGCAAAGGGTTGAAAGATAAAATCAATCTCTCATTTATTAAGCTTTAAGAATAGGAAATATATACAGTGAGTGGAGACAATAACAAACTGTAACAGACTAATAACAAATATAACAAATATAACTGCTAACTAGTACAGATAACAATTTAGTCATTATTTTTAAATTTACAATTTAATCATCTATATTTTAACACTTTTCAATTTATTTTTGGTGTTTTAAAATTTATACACACATTACAATAAGTGGGAATTGGAATTTGAATTCACGACTTTTTTTAGTCGATGTTTAAATTAAATTTACATAACATGAAAAAAGTTTTGAGAAGTTGTTCTTTTTTTTTTTTTTTAAGAAAGAGGAACTACTTTCATTGAGATATGAGAAATTAGACCAATAAAAAAGAAAAAGTTGAAATTGGAAAATTAAATCTTCTCTTACTTTAGTGATCGGTCAGGCGTGGTTAGATTTCTTTCGAAAAAATAATAATAAACTCAATATGGGCTTTTGTATTGGAGGCATAAAACAAAATATACTACAAAAACAATTAACTACTCCCCACGTGCTGTCCTAGAGTTTGTTGTAAAGATATTATTAAAGAAAGACTTTTTGTATTTGTTTTTGCTTCCAAAAAAATAATAACAATAATAAATTATACTAATCGAGGATTCAAATGTGATAGTCTAAATTTTATTGAAAAAAAGTCGATAAATATTTTTAAACAGTTACAAAGACAAATATTTAAATGAGTAAATAAAAATTTTGAATAAGCAAACAAATATTAATATTAATATTATGTTAACATTTATATTTTCATATTTTATATCTGGTTAATTTTTGTTGTGATACTATTGAAATGGAGAAGGTTGAATTCGTCGTTGAGATACTTATAAATGAATTAAATTTATCCCATGAGTTTAAGCTTTTAGATTGAGTGGTGTTTATTTCACTTTATAATGGTATTAGAGCGGAATGTCTTATTTTCAAAGGCTTACGTTGTCGTTTCCTCCCTATTTATTATAATTTCCATTCGGTTGAGTGGTGATTTATTCATTGACATCAAAAACGGTTATCTTTGTATAAGAACGTTGGTGGGCATTCAACCATATGGCTGAAACAATCACTATGGCATTGCCATCAGATTCAATTCTAAGCACAAATCTTGAGTGGGTTGTGAAAATCAATGAGCTTCTCCAACGAAATGATTTTCATACAGCTTTTGAGACTCCAATTTCTATCTTTCAAGTGCCAGATTGTATCAGAAACGACAGTCCAGAAGCCTTCACTCCTCGTCGTATTTCCTTGGGGCCTTACCACCATTCTCAACCACAGCTGCTCAAGTTGGAGCTCTTAAAGCTCGACACAGCAAAGAAGGTGAAAGACCATATCAACCTTCCTGAGTTCCACCAACTTGTCAGTGACAAACTCAATCCATTGGAGCTCAAAATCCGAGCATGTTTCGGCAAATATTTTGAACTGGGATGCGAGAGTTTGAGTTGGATAATGCTCATCGATTCCTTGTTCTTGATTCGCTTGCTTCATATCTTTGCTGAAGTGGAAGTAAAGTGTTATGATAAACGCCATGAACTCCCATTGCCAGAGCTTGATGCTGAACACCAACAAATGTACCTCAATCCTAAAGCAAGTTTGGTGGCTCGAAATGAGATCGTGGGTGACACTCTAATGTTGGAGAATCAAGTCCCATTTTGTGTTCTCAAAGAAATTTTATCAGGAACTCAAATCATCAATGATTTGCCAGTCTTATTATAAAAATTCTGTGTCTTGGTTTCACCATTTGCCTTAAATTCATATTCTAGCTCCACCAGTTTTCTTGACCTGTCTCAAACTTTCCAACAATCTCATCATTTGCTGCATTTCCTATACCTCTTAATTTTGAACAAGAAGGAAATGGAAGCTAAGGACTATTTTGGTCCCGGCACGACAAGTCTTCTATGTGTTTGCTTCAATATATTAGCATCACTTCTCCATATGGACGTAGTTGAATTACTGAAGGGGAATTCATTGGGTCAGTCTAATCTTTGTTTGAAATATTTGAGGCATTGGTTCGGCCATCTTCATTTGAGGATAGCTTTCCTATGATCCCCTCAGCCTCAAAGTTGAAGAAAGTTGGAGTGGAATTTCGAGCAACGTATAACTTCCAATACATTACATTTGACAAGGAAGAGGCTTCTCTCTGGTTGCCCGCCATCACTTTGGATTCTACCTCCCATGTAATATTGAGAAATCTAGTAGCATTTGAAGTCGGTGCCAAGTTCAATCCACCAAGTTTTTCTAAATATGCAGCCATTATGAATGGACTCATAGCAACTACAAACGATGTCAACATTCTAAAAGAAGCTCGCATCATCATTAATAATCTTGAGAGTGATGAAGAAGCTGTGGAGCTCTTTAATGGGTTTATGAAGTTTGCTTCAAAGAGTGAATCATCAGATACTGAGTCTAGTTCTAAACCAGGTGACATGGTAAATATGGTTGAAATCATTGAAGAAGTAAACAAATATTACGAGAGCAAATGGAAGATTAGGGTGACAAAGTTTGTAAAGAAGTACGTGTCCCCAATGGTCAAGATCTTTTCTATTTTGGTCGTCGTGTCGCTTATAATTTTTGTGATTGTACGTACATTATGTGGATTATTATTTAGTTGTCCAAGAATTTTGAAACCGTAAAAGAGTGTGCTTTTTCTTTTGTGTTTAATGAGAAGTGTGTTGTTAACGTTGTTTATATTGGGTAAAAAGTGTTTGGCATAATAAAAACGCTAATATTTCAAACTTAATTTTTAAAAAATGAGTATAGTTACAAAAAAAATTACTATAATGGAAATAACTAAATTACAAAGGACTCAACGGCTATGGATGAGAAAATAAGGAATTCAGAAGGAAAGATATATCTTGATGACCTTATTGTTGGGTGATTCCAACTTACGCTAACAGCACAAACAATTTCAGAAAAGTATATAATAGCGACTAACTAAGTTCCAACAATAAATATAACAAATAAATGAGTAAGGGAGAAGAAATAACACACTGATTTATAGTGGTTCGATCAACGTGATCTACATCCACTATGACGATCCATCCATTCTATTCATATCGACCAAGCAACAGCAAAAATACAAGGTTGGGACAAAAATATAGAAAAATTACAACACCCAAAACAAGGCTTGAGACCCACTAAAAGGAACTCACCTTCAAGAAGAGTGATACAAAATAATGAATAAAATACCCAAGGAATTTTGCAACACCCATCACCCTCTTCCTCTCTCTCACTTTCGGCACTCACACATAAGAAAGAACCCACAAAGTTTTTCTCTCTCTCCACTGTGTTCTCTTTTGCCAGCAGCTTCACCAAGAAAAAAGAAGCCACTATTTTCCCTTTTTTTTTTCTTATATCATGATGGGTGCCCTAAAACAATGAACTATTTTTAACCTACTGTAAAAACAAATGAATTGGAGAGTTACTGCTAGTCCAAACAAACATTTTCAGCATAGAAACAAAACGGGCCCAAGGTTGACACACGGGCCAACAAATTTCCACCTTGCTGAAAAACTCCACCTTGCTAAGAACTCCACCTTGGTTCAAGAATGAATGAATGAAACGCCACTTATTTTCTGATCCCGAAGGTCACTATTTAACCTGCTTCTAATTGAAGCAGGTTCATGCATTTCTCAAATTTTTTGGATGGCAAAGTCTTCGTAAATGCATCAGCAATATTATCTTCAGTAGGAATCTTCTCAAGGACCATAGTTTTCTCAGCAAATACCTCCCTTACAAGGTGTAAATGAACATCTATATGCTTCGTTCTCTCATGATAAACATGATTCTTTGACGAATGAATAGCACTTTGGGAGTCACACCACAGGATAACAGGATCATCTACTTGAATCAATTCACCAACTAAGCCCCTAAGCCATAATGCTTCTTTAACACTATCAGTTAAAGCTACGTATTCAGACTCAGTAGATGATAATGCTACTACATGCTGTAAAGATGTTTTTCAACTAATTGTATTACCAAATAAAGTGAAAACATACCCCGACGTGCTTCGTCGTTTGTCTGGATCTGCATCAACATATCCCACCAAGGGATACACAACTCTGTAATCTCCAGTATATACTAAGCCATGACTGTGAGTTCCCTTTAGTTACCGAAGAAGCCATTTCACTACTGTCCAATGAACCTTCCCTTGATTTGACATAAATCTGCTCACAACACGCATAACATGAGCCAAATATGGTCTAGTGCAAACCATCGTGTACATCAAGCTCCCCACAGCACTATTGTATGGAATATCCTCTAATCTCTCTTTTCTTGCACAAAACTTGGACACTGTTTCATAGATAATTTGAAGTGTGGCCCCAAATGAGTTTTTACTACCTTTGAATCTGTCATATTAAACCTGCTCAATAACTTTGAAATGTATCCCCTCTGAGACAAAAACAAACGTTTGGAATTCCTATCTCTTGAAATTTCAACGCCCAATATCTTCTTTGTTGTCCCCAAGTCTTTCATTTCAAATTCTGAGCTCAACTCCACCTTCAACTTATCTATCTCTACTCTATCCTTGCAAGCTATAAGCATACTATCAACATAAAGTAGCAAATAAAGTTTGGTTGCACGTCGTACCTTTTTAAAATACACACAATGATCAAACATACTTCTTTTGAACCCCTTTGACAATACAAAACCATCAAATCTCTTGTACCATTGTCTAGGAGATTGTTTAAGTCCATGAAGGGACTTCTTCAACAAACATACTTTGTCTTCTTCACCTTTTATCTCAAAACCCTATGGTTGCTTCATATATATATTTCTTCCTCAAGTTCACCATGGAGAAACACAGTTTTGACATCCATTTGCTCAATGTAAAGATCAAAGTGGGTAGTCAAAGCTAATATCACCCTTATCGATGTATGCCTGACAACCGGTGATAATATTTCATTATAATCTTCTCCTTCTTTCTGTGTGTATCCCCTTGCAACCAGTCTGGCCTTAAACCTCATCTCATCGTCATCTACCAGTCTAGGTTTAAGTTTGTAGATCCATTTACAAGATACAAGTCTTTTACCTTTTGGCTTGCTAACAAGCTCCCAAGTCTTGTTTTTGTTCAATGAATCAATTTCTTCCTTCATAGCTTGCTCCCATTTCTCACTATCATTGCATTTTATAGCTTCAATGTAGGTGGATGGCTCAAGTTCTGCGAGTTCATCAGTAACTTCTAGTGCATAGGCAACAAGGTCTGCTTCACCATATTTTGCTGGAGGTTTGATGGTCCTTCTCACCCTATCTCTGGCGAGGTTATAATCACTCAAATCAGTCTACTCAATCCCCTGTGCTTCTGATTCTTGATCACTGCCATCATCCTCATCAATCTGCTCAGTACTAACTTCTGGTTCAGTACTTGTTGATGTGTTTGGTATGTTGTTAGAAGTGACTTGCCTTTGGATTGAAGTGGGCTCTACCTCAATCTCAAATGTATCTAAGCCTTGAGATGTTTCCTCTATTGATGTTTTCGATTTTGAGTATGACATACTCCATTCATCAAACTTAACATCTTTGTTTATTATACATTTGCTTCTATTCGGTTCCAAACACCACATTTTGTAGCCCTTTACTCCTTCTGGATAACCTATAAAGACACACTTTAAGGCTCTAGGTTCAAGCTTGGCTTGATTTATGTGAGTATATGCAGTACATCCAAAGGCTCTCAAGTGAGAAATGTCTGGTTTTACTCCACTCCACATCTCCTCAGGCATTTTGAATTCAACAGCTGATGAAGGTGTTCTATTTATCAAAGAACACGCTGTGGTTGTTGCTTCCCCCCAAAACGACTTGGGCAAGTTTGATTGAGATAATAAACACCTTACCCCTTCCAAAATGGTTCTATTGATGCGTTCAACAAGACCATTTTGTTGTGGAGTGTAACCAACTGTTAAGTGTCTTGCAATACCATGTGTCGAGCAAAGTTCATTAAACTCTCGATTCACAAACTCAAGTCCTCTATCAGTCCTGATTTTCTTCATTTTCTTCCCAGTCTGATTCTGAACCAAAGTAAGCCAATCCCTGAACTTTGACACTATCTCACCTTTATGCTTCAAGAAATAAAGCCACACTTTTCTGCTATAGTCATCCACAATGGATAGAAAGTACTTGACTCCTCCATGAGTACTCACATTTGCTGGCCCCCATAAGTCTGCATGAATATAATCAAGCTTTTCTTTTGTGCAATGTGTTCCCTTTGTGAATTTTACCCTTGTAGACTTGCCAAAAATGCAATGTTCACAAATAGGAAAATCACCCACTTACTTCAAGCTTAAAATCCCCTGATTACTCAACTCTTTCATGCCTTTCTCACTAACATACCCCAAACGTGTATGCCAGAGTTTTGTAGCTCTGACATTTCTATCCACATCATCAGAAACAAGTGAGAGATTTCCTGACACCGTCTGACTACTTAGCACATAAAGCCCATTTTTGAGCTTTCCCTTTAGCTTCAACAGTGAGCCTTTATATACTTTCATCTCACCATTCGCTATCTTGCTGGTATAACCAAGCTTATCTAAAGTTCCAAGAGAGATAAGGTTTCTTTTCAAGTTAGGGATATACCTCACATCAGTCAAAACTTTCACCAGATTATCATGAAGTCTCAGTCTCACCGTGCCAATCCCTTTGATCTCACAGATCTGATTGTTACCGAGATAAACTTTTCCAACTTGCAATGGTTTAAAGTCACTGAAGTATTCCCTTGAAGGTGTCATATGAAAAGTACAACCTGAGTCCAAAACCCAGTCGTCTGACCATTCATTCCCTGAAACCAACAAAACCTCAGCTGATTCATAACCATCCAATATATTTGCTGAACTCTCCCCCTCGGCCTTTTCTTGGTTAGACTGTTTGTTCTTTTCCAACAAAGGACAATTTCTTTTAAAATGCCCTTCCTTCTGACAATTGTAACACTTTTTACCTTTCGCTCTCGATTTTGACCGAGATTTCCCTTTCTGCTTGCTGTAATTTTTCTTCTTTGCTCTATCCCGAGTATACAGTGCTTCACTGTCCTTCTTCTCCAGCTTGATCTCAAGTTCTTTTAATTTCAAAACATTCAGAACTATCTCCATATCCAAGTTGTCTCTTCCGTACTTAATTGCTGTCTTGATTTCTCTATATGAATCGGGCAGTGAATTTAACAAAATTACCGCTTGATTTTCATCAGACATTTTCTCACCAATGTTGGCTAAATCAAGGAAAATTTTATTAAACTCATCTAAATTTGCATCTAATGGTTTTGAAGGATCCATCCTAAAACTAAAGAATTTCTCCTTGAGATATATCTCGTTCGACAAAGACTTGACAAGATATAACTTATCTAACTTTTGCCATATCTCTAAGGATGTGGTGGCATCATCAACCTGTCGTAAAACATTATCCGACAAATACAAAATCAGTGTACTAAAGGCTAAATCAAGCATTTCTTCCTTCTCTTCTTCCTTCATTTCAGTGGGGTAATTCTTCGGATCATCAAGAGCTTTAGCAACCTTTTGTTGCACTAAAAGCGCTCTCATCTTCTTTTTCCATAATCCAAATCACCCTTGCCATCAAATTTCTCTAGCTGAAACTTAGTAGCCATTTTCAAGATTCACCAATAAAAAATCTTTCCAAATTTTCTGATAAA